TTACCCTATATGGAAAATCTTATTCAGTCTTCAAATCACAGTCATATACGGATTGTAAAATTATCTCATTAAAACCCTATATTTCGGAAGCCGCCGCCTAACTCATTCTCCAAACAGCATACCAATTTCCATTGTTGTTTCATCCAATTGCTACAGCAAATTTTCACAAAACTCATCCACTGCATCCCAACCAGTCTACGATAGGGATCGGAGGAAAAGTGAAAAATTGGATCAGCTAGAGTGAAATAAATCCCGTACACTTGATCAAGCTGTGAGGTCGGTAGCGTCGATGTGGGAGAGACGGTGACTAGAGAGAGTTCCCGTCGTCGTCGCCGTCGACGCCAACAACGATGGATGGCGTGCAACAACAGAGAAGCTTTTGTTTTGATACTATACCATGACGACGGCACCCAGAAGTTTTTAATTCAATTTTCCCATCTCATCGCCCCCGGCAGACGATTGCTTCAGATGAGCGCAAGGGATCCAGCGGATGCGAATGCCATGGGATTTCGTCCCATCACGCGCTGACCTGCTCCTCGTTTCCTGTGTTGGCAGGCATCTACTTACATCTACAACACGTAGGGCTTCGACTCGAGTTGGGTGACTTTTGTGAATGGAATTGTAGGTGGGTGCTTTTAGCGTGAAACGTAAATCCTGGCCCAAGCTGAGAAACGGGGCCAACGGTTGTGCCCTACAACGGTTCATTACTGTTTCACCCTTGCTGCATCACGGATATCCTCAAGAGTCACGACCGGGCATGGCAGACAGGCTGGAGGAAATTTAGTTGCTTACTATCGAGGCCAACCACCAAGACCATGATGATGATGATGACTGCAACGATAATGATGGAGTAATTAACAGGAACCACAACAAGTCCTGCCAGTCAGCGAAAAGTCGTTTAAAAGTCTCAGTTTCCAGGTGAAATGTTTTAGTAGATAATGGCTTAGCTGGGAGTGATTTGAGTAATGAAAATCACGTAAAAATATTTACAAATTTCCCACTGTGCCTGACTATAAACCCTGTTCGTATTCGCCTGCCACTTCCACTTCCGTCTGCATAGGCTGAATGAGGGTATTATTTTTACACCGTTCTCACTTAATTTTCCTGTTTGCAATTTCATGGTATAATTTTAATTAAGATTTTCATTCCATTCCACCATTTTACCTTTCCCCCCTCCCATTGACCCTGCAGCATTTCGGCAATTAAGTCATGACGCCCTATCCTTTAGTCGGAGGAATTTTGATGAATCATTGTTCTTGACGAAAATGGAAGCCATGGTTGAAGGAAAAAAAAACGGAAACTCCCTTCACATCTACCAGTACCTTGAAATAGAGCAAGGGTAGGATGCCTGCCTATTTGTTGCACAAAAAAGGGTCTAGCAGATTAATTCCGAAACTGAACTGCGATTTAAACAAAAACACATCCCATGACTTCTATTTTATGACATTTAGAAATTTCATTGCTGATCCCATTATCTGCCACAACAATCAAAGCAATTTCTCATCCCGTCGCAGCACCGAGTGTGTGTTTTATCATGTGTGTTTTCAGCTGTACAATCGTAATTTACTGGGTTGTAATTTTTCGTTTCTCCCGATAATACCCGATACCAAAATGTCATCAACGGATAATCATACAGTGCATTTTTATATAACAAAAATACAACATCAACAATTTACGCTCTCCGTTTTGTTTTGCTCACTATTATCGCATTAACACTTTTTATCCCCGCTTTGATTTGAATCTGATTTTCATTTGCAATCCATACGGTTGAGTTTTTATCACCTACTACCGACCTGGTCTCACCACCGCAATCCTAAAGCTAAAAACCATTAGTTTTAGATTAGCTAATTGCCGCGCCGCACGGGTCGAGTGGTTGAGCTTCGAATGAATAAATTTATTATCCACGTTGACATTCGACGATGGGTGGTGACAAAGGGTTGTTTATCTATACACTTTTTTTTGCTCACCTTTTCGAGCACTGCATTCTGCATTAGTCACCTACCTCGGGAGGGTGTTGAAGTTTGTCAGCTCTGTCACAGGAGACTGCAACAGGAGGCACCAACCGATTGTCCATCCTGTGGACTAATTAATGGATAGCATTTCCATATCTGCTCGCAGCACAACAGAGGTTTTGCGATTTTATACAAGTTTTTTTTTTTTAACGTTCATTCATTATTGCCATCAAAACACACTCGTTCACTTGATCAGAACGGTCGAATATTTTTTCTCTCACGCTGATAATTGTGCAGTCCAGAGGGTGGCCCTTGGAATGGTATGGATTTTCGAAAATTTCAGTGAAAAATAAATGATGTGTTAAGTTCAAATGTTTTTGTACGAAGATTGGTCAAACGGGAAAAAGCAGGGTTGTAAAAATGTAAATAACCGGAATCTTCTGGTTAAAATTGAGTTACAAATTTAGCCAAAAGGAAGGTTATTTAAATTTTGCAAGGTAGGGGAATTTACATATTCTCGTCAATCTAAGCAGCTTCCAGCCCCGTAACGTGGGTAGATCACCTTTTCATGGTACGTTACGGGATGTAAGATCTTCCATCGATTCCTAGTCCTGACTACTTCAAACTAGGGGAACAGGATTTTTCAGTAATCAAAGGAACACATCTTAGTCCTTGTTAGTTTTTGTGCCTTTTAGATAGTGACAAGACTCGGCATTGTCCATCGAGGATGATCTTGAAACAACGAAAAAATGAGTTTGTTAGTCTTCATCTATGTGATTCCAAATCTTCTATTAGTTGTTCCCTTGTTTGAAGTGGTTAATTTTATTTTATTTTATATATCACCGTCTTCGACTAGTCGTACAGACTGAACTATTTTCTTATAAACTAAAGATTGCTTCTAATCCTATTTCTAAAAACATTTTTGGTCAAATTAAAATCAAATTCGTCACAAACAACATTGAACGAGCGAAGGCACGAATCGAACGGGTTGTTGTATCCGTAGTTTGTTCTGTGGTATGGAACTGCTAATAAAGGTGAGTTCCGAAACCGTCGGGGAGGAATGTTTAGTGGGATCTGTGCGAGAAGTTCAGGACAATCAATAAATCCTCCGATGACATCAAAAATAAATAATCGCTGCATCGTAACTCGTCTGGTAGATAGTAGCTCCAATCCTATGAGCTTACATCGGTCAGAATAGGGAGGAAGATTAGACGGATCGTTCCAGGGAAGCTGTCTCAATGCAAAACGTACGAACCTTTTCTGTACCCGTTCAATGGTAAGAACATGAACTACATAGTAAGGGGCCCAAACTGGAGCAGCGTACTCCAGAATGCTACGAACCAACGAACAGTAGAGAGTTTTTAACGCGTAAATGTCGGTGAACTCGGACGCATGGCGACGGATGAATCCCAGCACAGAAAAAGCTTTGGCAGTCATAATTCCCACGTGTTCGTTGAACCTTAGTTTCGTATCGATGGTAACACCGAGGTCGCAGATGGACGAAACTCGTTCTAATTCCGCCGTTTCCATCCTGTATTGATGAAGAATGGGGCTATTGCAGCGACTGAAGGAAATAATTTTGCATTTCTTGTTGTTAACTCGCATGCCGTTATCGCTACACCATATCATCATAGTGTTGATATCCTCTTGCAGAGCAAAGCAGTCCAAGAGAGAAGCTATGACACGATAGAATTTAAGGTCATCAGCGAATGAGAGCTTGAACGAGGAAAGCCGCAAACACAGATCATTGATGAAAATGTTGAATAATAGTGGTCCCAAAACGCTTCCTTGGGGTACACCAGACGTGATGTTGAAAGAGCGGGAACGAGCCGAGTTGATCACAACATATGCGGTACGATCACATAAGTAGGAAGAAATCCACTCCGTAATCCAATCTGGAAAACCTATGTGCCTCAGTTTCTCAATGAGCTGAATGTGCGGTACGGTATCAAAGGCTTTCGCGAAGTCAACATACACCGCGTCAACTTGCCGCCTCTCTTCTACTTCGCGGGACACTGTGGTGACGTAACACATGAGGTTCGTTGTTGTAGAGCGATGCTTCATGAAGCCATGCTGACCTTCGAAGATAATCGGAGACGCTACGTTGTATAAAACATTGTGCACCAGTTTTTCAAATATTTTACTGAGACAACAAAGAATAGATACTCCGCGATAGTTTGTCACCTGGTTACAGTTGCCTGACTTGTGTATAGGAACAACGTAAGCAGATTTCCAAGCCGCTGGAAAGGTCCTTTCACGAAGCGATTGATTGAATAAGTGAGCAATTGGATTCGCCAGTTCTTCGGAACAGTTTTTCAGCAGCAGAGGTGGTAAACCGTCTGTTCCGGATCCTTTTTTGATGTCAAGGTCATCGATGGCTCGTAGAACTTCTTCGGTGGAGAACTGAATGACAGGAAGGTTGATGATGTGCGACGGAATATGTGCAAAGCAGTCGCGCATTGGGACAGGTGACACTTTGCTAAACACGCTCTCGAAGAATATGGCAAAAAGGTTAGCAGCATCCACATTTGTATTAGCCTGGAGATCATTGTAGCTAACGTTACATGGGATGCGAGTAGATGCTTTCCGATTCCTCACGAAGTCCCAGAAACACGACGGGTTTTGTTTTACACTGTCCTGGATCCTGGATAGGTAGCGTTCATAGGTGGATAGAAGAACTGTTTTGTACTGCAGCTCCACTTCACGAAGGTACTCGCGGTCGTTCTCAGATTTCGAAAGAAAGAAACGGTGACGTGCTTTTCTGAGGATGTTGCGAAGATGTCGTAGTTCAGGGGTCCACCATGGTTTACTGGAAACTGGACTGAACGTTCGCCTTTTCCGAGGTACATAGTCGTTGAGCACTGCGTAAAGTTTTTCATAGAATGCTGATAATAATTCATCCAAAGGCTCAGATAGTAGTAAAGCTTCCCAGTCGATTGCAGCCAGAGCCGATTTCAACTGTCCAAAATCGTACGAGTGGAAATCGTAGTTAAGATTTTCGTCCGACTCATTCTCTACCACTAAATTGTCATTGCTCTCACTGAACAGCAAAACAAAAGGCACGTGGTGAATGTCAGCGGGCAGCAGAGGCGTGGAGGGTTCAACGAGGTCCAGTTGCTCTGGAAGACTGGCGAATACGAGATCGAGTAGTCTGCCATTCCCATTCACGTAGCGGTTAACTTGCTGCAAACCAGTAGCAAACATAGTTTCTATGAGTGCCTGTTCGTGTTCGGAATGAACATTCAAGGGTATGAAACCGTTTACATCTTCGTCCAACTGCCAGCGTAAATTAGGAAGGTTGAAGTCACCCAGAGACATAATGATGTCTGCTGCGGTGGCACAGTTTGCAACATGTTGCACTGCGTTAGCATGTGCAGAATAAAGGTCGGCGCTTGAGTTTGGTGGAAGGTAAATCGCAACAAGGTAAAGTGATCGAGATTCCAGTCGTACACAAACTGCGACTTGCTCAAGATGATCGCAATCCAACAGTGGCATAGCTTTGCAAACGAGATGAGTTTTGACCGCGATTAGCACTCCTCCTCCACGAGAATGCTGACTAGTCAATGCACTACGGTCGCAACGGTAAAATGTATAGTCGGACGAAATTTCAGTACTATCGATATCTGCTCTAAGCCAAGTTTCCGTGAAGACGAGCACATCGTAGTCGCAGCTGGAGAGAAGCAAACGTAACTGCACAATTTTGGTACGCATGCCTCTGACATTCTGATAGTACACCGAGATGAGGCGTTGAGATGAACTTGTTTTAGTTTCTGATCCAGAAACAACGGAGCATTGTAGGGACGTCGTAATGTTGACTGGACTCGTTGTGATAACTTCAGTGATGCATTGAAGAGCGGCTGAGTGGAACTGCGCTGACGGCCACGGGCAGCTGGAAGCGATAGACGTTACCCGACAAGGAATGTTCTTACTGTGCGCGTACTTGCCTGCTGCGACGGAGTGGAAGACCCCTTCTCCAGCTTCGTACACAGGACCGGGATGACTGCAGGTCGCTGGCGGTGTAGGCTCGACTGTGACGAGAGGATTAGGGGCTTCCGTGAGGCTTTCAGGCATGCATCCCGGTGGCTTGAGTGTTGATGATGAGAGTGCACAGTGGTCTCCTGACATTGAGCGGCTGGAAGCGATGTGCATTACCGGGAGTGAGGTATTCAAATTGATTGTGTATTTGCCTGCGATAACGGGTTGGAAGACCCCTTCACCTGATTCGTACACAGGACCGGGATGACTGCTGGTCGCTGGCAGGAATGGCTCGACTGTGACGATAGGATTTGGGGCTTCCGTGAGGCTTGCAGGCGTGCATCCCGGTGGCTTGAGTGCTGATGATGAGAAGGTAGGAAACGATGATCGACTGAATTCGCCGAGATCCTCCGAGAAGCATCGGTGAGGTTTCGAACTTTGATCTCCTGGCGTAGAACGGCTGGAAGCGATGGGCATTACCGGAAGTGAAATGTTCAAATCGATTTTGTACTTGCCTGAAATAGCTGGTTGGAAGACCCCTTGACCGATATCGTGCACAGGACCGGGATGGCTGTAGGACGCTGGCAGGAATGGCTCGACTGTGACGATAGGATTAGGGGCTTCCATGAGGCTTTCAGGCGTGCATCCCAGTGATGAGGTGAGTTTTGGTGGAGTCGGTTGCTGCAGGTTGGGAGTCTTCAAGTAATGATTGCAATGATTAGTCTTCTGATGGCTTCCGAAAGTTTTTCGAACCATAATCTTCGAATTCTCTGAACATGATTCCTTCTGGCCATGTTGAGGGATCCAATGCCGTTGTCTTCAAATCCTGGTCGAGGCCGATTTTGAAAGAGATGAATGACAAGCCAGCGGTGTCCTTGCCCTTTGGTACCAGTTTCACCACTTCAGGATCAACGGTGGTTTCCAAGCATTCTTTCACTATCGCCGAAATCAATTCGTTCGTTGCGTCGGGACGGATGCGCGACAGGTAAAGCCAGAATTTGTCATTGCCGACAGTAGAGTTTTGAACTGTGACAATATTCTGACTTGATTCTTTCGATCCGTATTGAGCTGCTGTGTTTGCCATGTAACGTGCCTTTGGAGCTTGAGGGGGCCGGGGTTCAGGCCTTGGTAATGCAGGAGGAGCAGGAAGAGTGGCGGGTTTGTTTGAAAGCTGTTTAATTTCGGTACGTAGTTCGTTGATTGCTTCCGATAACGATGCAAGCGGAGACGGCTCATGTGAACAACACGAAATTGAACGAAAATGGCTATTTTCGAACATTTCGACACACTTCACGCACATCCAAAATAAATTCTTCTTGTGCGACGTAAAGTAGCTTAGAAGCGCTCGTGACACACCAGCGCACGTCATGTGAAAAATTCCACCGCAGTAACCACGACAAGCCACTTGATCGATACCAACGATAGCTTGGCAACGTTCTGAGCAAGCCTTCTCCATCATGTGTACCGCGTTGATGTAAACCAAAATCGCCTACCAGTATGCTTGGAAAATGATGATGTGCCCACAAAGCAATGTTGGTTCGCGCTATTCGCCAGCAGATGTCGCTTCAGGAGAGAAAATCGGCGTGGGGAGGTAATAGGCCTTTGTTGTTTAATCACACTGACGAAAACAAAACACTCGCGGAATGGGATAAAATATCACCGTAGCACAAATAAACTAGCACGTACACACACGAATTTCGTTAACCGAGCTTAACTGGACGACGTAACAACGGAAATAATATTTACGGAGTTGAAAAACACGGAAAATAACAGAAAAAATCACGACCGATAATTGTCAATATTACGCACACAGAGCAGTGATGCTAGACTAGGGTTCTGATGCATGGTCATTATCGGTGTCATTCCTTAATTTTGTTTCTAAGTAATCTGATTTCGACTGAATAAGGAGCGCGCCATTGGAGGGCGTTTCAACACTCCGAAGGGTATAAATAGCGGAACCTTTCAATTAGAGTCGGATCCTTGCGATAAATGCAAGAATGACAACCGTAAAAAAAAATCGAATACTTTATCATTTCTCAATAGTAATGGAGTAATACGACATTCACTAAACTAAGGAATCGGGATATAGGGGAAATGGCTCTAATGTTGGCCTATGGATCTAAGATTGGGCCCATCGTTAAAAATCTGCTATTGATCAATTGTATCTAGATGAACGCGTCATTGGTATGGTACCAATGAATATTTTTGGTTGCTATTGAAAATTTAGTCGATTGCTGAATTTATGTATGGACCCAAATCAGGGACACTTAGGCCCACATTACATAAATTTCCCCTACTACAATAGATAAAATTACTGGTCGCAGTGGTGTTAGGTCCCGACCAGAGGAAAAAAAGCAGCGTCCACAATTATATTAGCAATTGCTTTTTCTATGTTTAGCAAAGTACACATCAAGTGTAACTGTTCAAATAGGCGTATCTGATTTTGTAAACAATTACTTCAATCGACAATTTGTGGAAACTGCTAGCTCAATTACAGAAACTAACAACAACAGCTAGTAGGGAAAAGATTTCCCTACCTGATGGTGGTGCGCGGGTGAGTTAGCAGATAAGACAAACAGTCGATTCAAGCGATTGTTTACAAAAGCAGATACGTCGATTTGAATAGTTACGCAAGACTTGTTTGTTTCTTTACATTTATCTGCTACTTACTATTCTATCCATGCCAATCGACTAATGTGTGACTACCCAAGTAACCAAAAGTTCTGATAAAAGGCTATTTGTGGCTTAAGCAGCTTGGTTGGAGGTGGTCTATAGAATTCTAAGCAACCTCATTTTTAAGTCGTTTTAAGAACTTGAAAGTTCCGGTATCATAATTGTAGAGCACTCCAAGCAGCTTCTGGCGAAACTTGAACGGAACTTTAAGAAAATAAATTTAAAAAGGTTTTTGTCCTCTACACCAATTCTATATTTAGTTCGCACTTTTATGAAAGTTATTTCTAAAGGCATGTATTAACGTGCATTGGATTTATCAGCATTAGTAGTAGGCTTGGAACTGTTTGAAGAATTAATCCCAGTTCTTCTGCGTGAGAGCCCCAGAACGAACCGCTGCGTCATCTGAGGTATAATAAAGTGAGCTGTTGTCCCGCCTACTGTTGGAGTTTTGAGTGCCAGCTGACTGACTTGAATACGAAACACAACACCTTGATGAATTTTAAATTGGTGTTTGCCCGCATGGCATTCCTACACACTTGTGGCACAGTAGTTAGTGTTCGTAGATCACATTCCAAATACACGGGTTTGAATCCAGGAAATTGCTCTTTATTTTTTATGTTTGGATGGAATATTGATGCACTGCATAAATATAAGAATTATGATTTATTTGAGCCACTGTTCATTTCATATTTACGTACATTACATTTTGTTACTAATAATGACTTGTGCGGATTGCTTCATGTGGCTTGAAAGTTCTGTCGCGGCTTTATTCGAACTTAATGGAACTTGAAAGTTCTGTCGGGACTTTACTCGAACTTTATGGAACTTGGAAATGATTTTAATCGTTGAATGCGGAACTTTTGGTTACTTGGGTAATGTCGGCTGCCTCATTTTCTTCCGCAGCCTTTCCATTTGAACTGCATCTTAACTAGCTGTTCTATTATTGGCAACTCTAAATCAGCCGAATTTTGCTTTGTAGTGTGTATATTTTATTTGAAGAAAAACTTGGCAGCTGGCAAAACAGGTTTGCTCAATCGTGAAAATGTAATTCAGCTAAGTGTTTTAGTGAGAAAATTTCGGCGAAATTAACGTTTAAGTTTTGGTTGCCGAAAACAGTCAATGGGTGCCGAAGCCATCGTTTACCCTATCATTTGTTTTAATACAATGAATTAAAAAAATATGCCCTGATTTTCTAACACGTCTAAAAATTATGATTTGGTAAAAACGAAGTTTGGTAATGCAAACTTTAAAAAAAAACTTTTGCTTGTTAGATACATATCTTATTGAAAAATGTAGTTTATGAACACTCAGTTGAATGCGGAACTTTTGGTTACTTGGGTAATGTCGGCTGCCTCATTTTCTTCCGCAGCCTTTCCATTTGAACTGCATCTTAACTAGCTGTTCTATTATTGGCAACTCTAAATCAGCCGAATTTTGCTTTGTAGTGTGTATATTTTATTTGAAGAAAAACTTGGCAGCTGGCAAAACAGGTTTGCTCAATC